TATTATTTCTGATCGAGATCCGAGATTTACTTCGAGATTTTGGAAGGCGTTACATACGGCTTTGGGAACAAGATTGGATTATAGTACATCCTTTCATCCACAAACTGATGGTCAATCTGAGAGAGTAATTCAGATTCTGGAGGATATGTTGCGGGGTTGCGTAATCGATTTTCATGGTAGTTGGGAGAACTTTTTGCCGTTGGCTGAATTTGCTTACAATAACAGTTATCAGACCAGTATTCGTATGGCACCCTATGAAGCACTCTATGGGCGTAAATGTCGCACTCCGATCTGTTGGACTGAGTTGCGTGATAGGAAAACGTTGGGACCTGAGTTAGTGCGAGAGACGGAGGACACAGTCAGATTAATCCGTGACCGTCTGAAAGAGGCATTTGATAGGCAGAAATCTTATGCAGATCAAAGAAGGAAGGATATACAGTTTGAAGTGGGAGATCGGGTCTTTTTGAAAGTTTCACCCTGGAAGAAAGTATTAAGATTCGGGCGTAAGGGTAAATTGAGTCCAAGATTTATTGGACCATTTCGTATCTTGAAGAGGGTAGGACCTGTTGCATATCAGCTTGAGTTGCCTTCTGAGCTAAGTCGTATTCATGATGTCTTTCATGTATCAATGTTGAGGAGATACCGTCCAGATCCATGTCACATTATTCAGGTTGAAGAAGTAGAGCTGAGACCTGATTTGTCATATGAAGAGGAGCCCATTCAGATCTTGGAGAGAGATGAACGAGTTCTTCGGAATAGACGAATTCCAATGGTCAAAGTTCAGTGGAGGAATCGAGGCCCCTCAGAAGCTACTTGGGAGACATTGGAGTCAATGGAGGCTCAGTTTCCTCAACTATTCTCATAAGGTAAATTTCGAGGACGAAATTTCTTGTAGAGGGTGAGAATTGTAACAACCCGATTTTCAAAATAATATTTAATTAAAATTTGAGGGTTTAATTGTGAAAATTTGGGACTGAATTGAAAGATTTTAAAACTTGGAGCTTGTTTTAAAGTTAAAGAAAATTCAGGGACCAAGCCCTGAATTTAACCATGGAGTGTCGGCAGACAATTGATATATGCGTGATTTCTGTTTTGAAAAACAGAAATCAATTTCCCAAATCCTCTCCCGAACGCCCAACTTCAAACCTCGATCCAGACGCCGTCCGAATTCCGATCGTTGTTTTGAAACCACCGTTGTGTTCATCATCGAGCGAGGAACAAACCCTTCAAATTAATTGAAGCGAAACGCGGCCAAACGTCTGGAATTTCCAGTCAAAGTAGCGACGGTTTTGTTAGCTCTATCGCCGAGGAAATCTTAAATTCACCGCTGATCGTGGCTCCGTTTACGACACCTCCCGCACCATCGTGTTCCTTATGCCATTCCGAGTTCACCGGTGTCAACCTTGTCCGCCGTAGACGGCGGCGCGTGAGGAGGTGGTGCAGTCAAAGATTCGGCCGATTTGAAATCGAGCTCTCCGCCGTTCAAAAATTTGAACCGATCGTTGTAAGTATCTTGAAATCACTCAAAATAATTTTTAGAAAATTTTTCGGGATTTTTAGGGCCCCGGAGGACGCCTCACGCGCCACACGCGCCGCCGCAGGGCGAGTGGCTGCTGGAAACCGGTTTGACCGGTTTTCAACCGGTTCTGACCGGTTTGACCGGTTTCAACCGGTTCGAAACGGTTTGACCGGTCTGAATCGGTTTGATCGGTCTGAATCGGTTTGACCGGTCTGACCCGACCCGACCGTTGACCCGACCCGACCCGACCGTTGACCGTTGACCGTTGACCGTTGACTTTCTTTGACCAAAACTTAAAATGGCTTTGACCGAGCATTAAACGACCGTTAATCTTTTCCGAGTATACCTATCCTGATAGTTTTCGACGTGCCGAATCCGTTTCTGTGGTCTGTTTTGTCAAATTCGAATCCGAAGGTCTCCAAATCTACGGTCAAAGTGGTTGACTTTGACTTTGACCAAGATCTGAATTTTCAAAAAGTCATACTTTATGTTTTTCGACGTCCTGATTCCGATTCCGCAGTCGGTTTGGCCAAATTCAGACTCGAAATACCCCAAAATGATAGTCAAACCCGAAAAATGCTTATATACTTAAGAATTCTAGCTTTGAACAATTAAGTAAGATTTGGGGCTGATTAATTATTATTGTTTGAAGGTACAAGAGACTCTCCGGATCGTTCGATAGCTCGACCCAACTCTTCTAGATCAGTTAAACCACGTATACCAGTATTCACTCGTAAGACTCGTAAATTTTATGATTTTAGAGATTTATTTATGTTACCCATTAGTAATATAGTGATATTATAAATTAGGTTCGAAAACTGTAGCAGAGCGTGGTGAAACCAGCAATCAGTAGATCCACGATTTGAACTATTATCGAGGTGTGTTCCCTATTTATTACTGAACTGTTTTATTTGTTTTAATATGTGGTACACTAAATTCTTTGGTTTTCGTATTGTTGATGCACCGATTTAATGTGATGATTTATGGATTATGATTGTTATCTGATAATTGTTTTGAAATGGTATATGATTACCATGTTTATGGATTTATGGAATTTATAACACGGTGCAATTGAATTTTTGGAATACGAATTTATAAAGTACAGCTCTGATCAAGCTGGAAAATTTTACGGACCTAATGTGACTCTTAGGTAGGCTCTGCGGCCCTGAGATCATTCTCGGGTAGGCCCTGCGGCCCTAAGATGTGTTCTTAGGTAGGCCCCACGGCCCCGAAATCTATCTTGGGTAGGCTCTCAGGCCCTAAGATGTTCCCTTAGGGTAACGCTTTTTAAAGAGATTTACTGCAGTATAATTTTATGAGACTTATTGGACTATGATTTGTTTAGTGTACCTATAGTGATTTTATGGTAATATTGGGACACACTGAGCCTAGCTCACTTTTCGAAAATGTTTTCCCTCTTTCAGATACTGTTGGTTAGTTACCCTGGATTGAGCACTTGGAGGATCAACATATCTCTTGAAGTATATTTGATTGTAATGTTTTTACCTTGCAAGTTGTCTTTATTTTGTTAACATGGACCTTATTTTAAAGTATGGGATTTTAATATGATGACACTTTTGCTATTACTATTCGGTTTTATCGTGATTTGATTTTTAAGATATGTTTTAAATTAATTTATTACTTATTGGTATTATATTTACAAGTTAGGTTTTGATAGTATGATTTATTATAACTTCATGTCATTTATAATGTGATTTTACATTGATTGAATAACGGTTTCGGAAAAAAAAAATGTCTTAAAGAATCATAATGTGAGCCACTAGACTTAGTCGAAACGCATAGGCTGGGTCTAGGGGGTTACACAACAATTCATCTAAGTAGCCTTACATCAAGCATATCAAAACGTAAAAATAAAAAAAAAAATTATGAAGTCATCATTCTTGCATTGCATAACTTTAAAGTTCCAACACTAACACAGGTGAAGTTCAATGTTTAAAGATCAAAATAATTGCACAAACCTCAATAGAAAACTTAAAAAATACAAAGAAACTCAACAACATGTTGTGGCCTTATTGGAATCAAATTTCGACATTCGATTTCTATGTGCAATTTATTCATTTCACTTGTTCTTTTTAATAAAATAGTATCAAATTATATGCGAAATTAGTCACTGTGGGTGACAATTTTTTTTCATTTTAATATTTAAAATTATATTTTATTATGTAACCAAAATATTTTTTTGTTAAGATTTTGCTTTTGTTTATTTCTTTTTCCTTTTTAAAAATATTTAAATTGTTTTCTTCATTTTATTCTGTCAAAGTCATCAACAATTCCAATGTCGATTTCTTTTACCATCAAATGATGACTTTTACAATTTTTGTTGCTATTACTAGCTTTGAGGGTTAAACTTATTTTAATTTATTAAAATTATGACCAAATTGATAGAATATATAAGTAACAGTGATCAAATATGTAATTATATCAAATATTTTAACTGCCACTTCAGTTTATCAGTTAAATATTATCGACAAGTGGCTTAATTGAATGCATTTAAATAGTTGAGTGACCTGATTGACAAAATTTCAAAAATGGTGGTCAAAATGGAAAGGGACAATATTTAAGTGATCATTGTTATACTTTACCCTTTATCTTAAATAATTTATCTTTAATTTTTTAACTAATTTATAATTATACGTTGAACCCTTTAAAATTTTAAATTTCATAAATCAAATTAAAGGTGCTCATCGTCGCTCGTCGAGCGCAGAAGAATCATCCTTTAAAGTTATTACGAAAAATCAATAATATCTTAACGATTATCATCATTAATAATAATCATAACAAAGATGAATAACTTCATAACTAAAGTAGTTTATTTAAGAGAAAGCTACTACAACAAGGCAATGTGTTATGTGTTGCCCTATTAGACTATCAGTAATTTAGTATCTCATCAAATTCAATGAAAATAGATGTGGGCAAGAAATGAGCATCCGTAAACTAGAGGCATGACAACAAATACAACCCTAAAAATATATTTTTTTTACAAAAGAAGTACTAAAATTTGTACAATACAAGACAAAAAATAGGTACCAAACACTTATCTTATAGGTAGAGATAGAGATATCATACAAAATTATAAATCTAATATATATGAAAGTATTAATAATAAAATATATCAAAAACTTATCTTATAGATAGTAATAGAGATAGAGATAGACATCTACGTAAATAAATATTTATAATATAAATTAATTTTATATAAATTTAATTATAAATAAATTTATTTAATATTTCCAGTAATATATTTACAATTTCAAGAAAAAAAAAAAAAAAAAAGAAAAGCCAAAAAGGGCAGCTTCGTTGAAGGCAAAATACCTTTCCTAACCGTCGAAGGAAAACACAAATCTTAGCGTCTACTCCACGTTATCAAAAATTCTACTTAAAACGTGGCTTCATCCCCTTCATTAATTTCCCTACTTTTCTTCATTAAGTCGGCAATGTCCCCCTTATAAATTAATCATCTTTTTCCTCCAATTCTCACATCAAAAACAAAAACCCAAACATCGTCTCTCTTCTTCCAATAGTTTTTCGTCAAGGCTCTCGATTCCAATTCTCTTTAACTCAATCGAAAGGTATTTTTCTTCTCGTTTTCATTTGTTTCCCCCTCTTGGGTTGTTTATTTCTTATTGTTATCGAATTTTGCTAGAATTTTGTTTGTTTATTTTGGGTTTTGGTTTGATTATTTGATCAATTCGAGCTATTCCGGGATAAAATTTTAGCATCTGTTTGTATAAAAGTAGTACTTTTTTTCTTCGAGTTCAAGATCATTAATTCACTTTGTTTTGGCTGTTTCATTTACTGTATTAGGGTTTCATCGTTTATTTTTTATATTTCTTTAGGGTCTAGTTATGATTAAATTTGATATATTTCTTTAGATTGGAAGTTTTCTTATGTTATTGATTGGTTGATCTTAATATGATCGGTGGGATCTAGTTGGGGTGGTCGACTAATTTGATGGTTATTGTTCATGTTCTTTGATTTACATTGAATGAAACAATACTGTTGATTTTGATCTTCGATTGATTTGCCAATTATTCATTAATTTATGTCGTATATGCACCTGCCAAATTTAATCTTTGGAACTTCTGCTTATGCTTTTGGCTATCCGTTTTTTTTGGGTTGGGGGGTGGTAAAGGATATAATTTTGTTAACAAAGGATGTTGGAAAATATAAAGTAATTATGAGTCTCTTGTCTGCATAACAGATGCAGATCTTCGTGAAAACTCTTACCGGGAAGACCATCACCTTGGAGGTGGAAAGCTCAGACACAATTGATAATGTCAAGGCCAAGATCCAGGATAAAGAAGGGATCCCTCCCGACCAACAGAGGCTTATCTTTGCTGGAAAACAGCTTGAGGATGGCCGTACACTTGCTGATTACAACATCCAGAAAGAGTCTACCCTTCACCTTGTCCTTCGGCTGAGGGGTGGTATGCAGATCTTTGTAAAAACACTTACTGGAAAGACGATCACCCTTGAGGTGGAAAGCTCCGACACAATCGATAATGTCAAGGCCAAGATCCAAGACAAGGAAGGGATTCCTCCAGACCAACAGAGGCTTATTTTTGCTGGAAAACAGCTTGAGGATGGCCGCACCCTTGCTGACTACAACATCCAAAAGGAGTCTACCCTCCACCTTGTCCTTCGGCTCAGGGGTGGTATGCAGATCTTTGTGAAAACCCTTACGGGCAAGACAATCACCCTTGAGGTGGAGAGCTCCGACACTATCGATAATGTGAAGGCCAAGATCCAGGACAAGGAGGGCATACCACCAGACCAGCAGAGGCTTATCTTTGCTGGGAAACAACTTGAGGATGGTCGTACACTTGCTGATTACAACATTCAGAAAGAGTCTACGTTGCACCTTGTCCTTCGGCTCAGGGGTGGCATGCAGATCTTTGTGAAAACCCTTACAGGCAAGACAATCACCCTTGAGGTGGAGAGCTCCGACACTATTGATAATGTGAAAGCTAAGATTCAGGACAAGGAGGGCATACCACTGGACCAGCAGAGGTTAATTTTTGCTGGGAAACAGCTTGAAGATGGCAGGACCCTAGCAGATTACAATATTCAGAAGGAGTCTACTCTCCACTTGGTGTTGCGTCTCCGAGGTGGCATGCAAATTTTTGTGAAGACTCTTACAGGAAAGACTATTACTTTGGAAGTTGAGAGCTCTGATACAATTGACAATGTGAAAGCTAAGATCCAGGACAAGGAGGGGATTCCACCAGATCAACAGAGGCTGATCTTCGCTGGCAAGCAGTTGGAGGATGGGAGGACACTTGCTGATTATAATATTCAGAAAGAGTCGACCCTCCACTTGGTCCTTCGTCTGCGTGGTGGAATGCAGATTTTTGTGAAAACCTTGACTGGTAAGACCATTACATTGGAGGTGGAGAGTTCTGACACAATTGATAACGTTAAGGCTAAGATCCAGGATAAGGAGGGAATCGCACCTGATCAGCAGAGGTTGATCTTCGCCGGGAAGCAGCTCGAGGATGGGAGGACTCTCGCAGACTATAACATTCAGAAGGAGTCAACCCTGCATTTGGTCTTGCGCCTTAGAGGAGGAATGCAGATATTTGTCAAGACCCTGACTGGAAAAACTATCACCCTGGAGGTTGAGAGCTCGGACACCATTGACAATGTGAAAGCAAAGATCCAGGACAAGGAGGGGATTCCCCCAGATCAGCAGAGGTTGATCTTTGCAGGGAAGCAGCTGGAGGATGGTCGTACTCTTGCTGATTATAACATCCAGAAGGAGTCCACTCTGCACCTTGTCCTTCGCCTCCGTGGTGGTTACTGATTTGGGTTCTAGTACTAAATTGCCTTTGATGTCTAATATAATATAATGTATTATTTCTTTGAACTTTTATGTGTGCTGCCGTTAAAGCGGCAAACTAGGCTCTATGAGACGTCTCTTTTAAGACCTTTTCTTTTGTTGGTGTTCGTAGTGGTTATATATAAGTAACCACATTTCAGTTACTATATTAAATAAAGCTTTGATATTGCTCTAAAATTCCCCTTCATTCATTCATTCATTACATGTAATTTCATGTTCTTGCAATTTGTGTTTGTCATTCAATATATAATTATAGGCAAGTTATTGCTCTTTAACCAAAATTAAGACTGCAAAGAGAAATATTAAAGCAGAAGAGAAACTTTTTCATAAACAATTAACATAAGTGCCCCCGATGAGCTTTTATTATAAGAAAATCTAGTCACCCCATAGTGGGGGTTAATGATTTCGGTTCTAGTACTAAACTGCCTTTGATGTCTATGATATAACATGATATGCCTTTGAACTTTAATGTGTTCTGCAGTTAAAGTGGCAAAACCCTCTATGAGATGTCTCTTTTAAGACCTTATCTTTTGTTGGTTTGTGGTGTTCTAAGTGGTTAGATAACCACATCTCCGTTACTATATATATTAAATAAAGCTTGATATTGCTCTAAAATTCCCTTTCTGCAGTACATTTACTTCATGTTCTTGTAATTTGTGTTTCGAGTTCAATTTATAATCCGAGGCAAGTTACTGTTCTTGAAACAAAATTAAGATTGCAAAGAGAAATACTTAACCAGATAAGAAATTCTTTCATAAACACTTAACAAAGGTACAAACGATGATGTGCTTTTTTTATAGGAAAGCTAGTCACCCCATAGTTGGGAGACGCTTTACATTTATTCTTCAGCATTTTAGCAACGACTATGATCCTTTAGACTGTCTCGAGAAGGAAAAGCACCTCTCCTAGGCTGCATATCGTATTTAGACATAATTTTCTCAGCAGCCTCAATACAAGTCTTGCATATCTTCTCTTCCCATCTGTCCTTTCATCTGTTGCATCGCCGCATGTTTGAGACCAGGGCATCTGCATTGATTATCCAGCTTCTCTAGCTGCCAGCAACAGGAGTCAAGGTTCCTGCTGCATTGCCTATTGTACTTGCTGCTGCTACCACACTGTTCCTTTATGTATTTTTGGTAGTCCTAGATATGGTCTTGCTCCCTTACTGCTCTTGACAGCTGCTCTGTGATCGCCTAGACGGCCTCCATGTGTTCTCCTCGTCAAGCGTCACAGCTATGATGGAAGCATGGGCGACGTGCAAAATGAGGGTGAAGGACCGGCTAAGTAGACTGCGAGCTTTGCCATTGTTAATTTGCAGGTAAGTCATAAGTGGGATATATATGGTAATAGGTTTTGATGGTGAGAAATAGGGTGAGGAATGATGACAATTTATAGGAGAGTTTGAACCTTTGCATGGCGAATACGTGAAATGGTGGGAGTAACACGTGTTTAATTTTTGCATGCGGAAATGGACGGATTTTGGTCGTCTGGTTATGCACATGCCCTGCTGGGATATGTAGTTCTTGCTCTCTCCCTTCCTCGTGTATTTAAACTGCCTTGTTGATATCTGTAAGCATGTAAGGTTTTGAATTCATTTATATTTCCACTATACTGATTCCCCCCCCCCCCCCAAATGTCGTCACCTCGCTGCCAACTCTCCACGTCGGCCACTCGTTTAATGAAGATGTGATACTTGAAGTCTTACAGCCACCTTGTAACAGAGAAAGATTAGATATACAATACCTCAATGGACCCATCTCATTCACCAGATGGCTGAACTAATCGACATTGACCCATCTGAAGCAAGTCATACTAATTGCAGAAACTTCAAATGGGGTGGTGGTGGTGGGTAGTTTCTATCTATTGAAATTGTCTCTCTTTTTTCTACGAATCTTCGTTTTGAGATATCGATTTATCATATTCTGCTGGTTATTCAGACAGAATTTTAATCTAAGAAAAACAGTTGTTTAGACCAAAGTATTGACTTTAATGTTAGAACTATAGTTTAAATATCTTAGAAAGAAAGAGCTTCAAAAGTTTGAACTTTTCTAGCATCTATTCTTCACTAAATCAAGGAATGGTGACAAATTTGTTGCTTTGAGATAGTCTGCTAGGAAGATATCAATTAACAAAAGAAGATGCACATGTAAATGCAGTATTACCAAAAATGGTTACGTTTTCTACTTTTTTTAGGTTATCTCTGTTTCAGAATTGTCAATTATCAGTGACGTTTGGTTTCTCGTCCAGACTAGTTTAGAAGAAAATGAAGCTGCAACTAAGAAGCTTGAGCAGGCTGCATAAATGAAGTTATTCCAGCTACATGTCAAGCGTTTCGCCTAAACCAATGCCACTGATATCAGAAAAAAATTCAGCTAAATTCATTAAGGTAAAAGCTTTCAATTTATTCTGTTTGTCATGGTAAAAGATTTATCTTCAGCTCTAAATGATATGCGTTTGAACTTCTGTATTCTGCCGTTGAAGTAGCAAAATCCTCTATTAGATGTCTCTTTTAAGAACTTTTGTTCAGAGCCAGTGGTGGTTTGTGGTGTTCTAAGTGGTTGGATAATCACATCCCACTTACTATATTAAATAAAGCTTGATATTGCTCTAAAACTCGCCTTCTTGTTCTTGCAATTTGTGTTAGTAATTCAATATATAATCATAGGCAAGTTATAGTTCTTTAACCAAAATTAAGACTGCAAAGACAAATATTAAAGCAGATGAGAAACTTCTTCATAAACAATTAACAGAAGTGCCCACGATGATGAGCTTTTATTATAAGAAAAGCTAGTCACCCCATAGTGTGGGAGACATTCAGCATTTACTCTTTCAGCATTTTATCTGCGGCTATGGTCGTTTAGAGTTTAGACTCTGTCGCGAGATGGAAAATTGTCAACACACATTTTCGTCCTACTAAGATTCAAACTCCTAAAAATAGGATAGAGTTCTACTAAGATTTAAATTCCTAAAGATAGGATCCACAAGCACTATAAATAGCCATTGTAACTCACTATTGTAACACACGATTTACACACAAAACATAGAGGAAAGCACGAGAAGATACAAAGGCAAAACTATTGTAAAGGATTCGAAAAGGAAATAAAAGGTAGCATTTTCTTTTTTCTTTCTTTTGCATGTGCACGTTATTTTTCTTGAGATTTGGTTCGAATAACCCAAAACGTGGGTTGCGCCGATGACCAAAATGGGTGGGGTTTCGAAGTTTCGAACCTAAATCTACCCCGAGGCTTATTTTTAAAAACCGGTTTGATTTTCGGTTAAAGGAGGGGAAGAGCTTTTTAAAAATCTATATTAGTCCCATTATTTATTATATGTATATTTTATTTATTTATTTTTATTACTCATGTTATTATTATTATATGTATATATATGTATTAAATTATTTTCATTTATTTTTTACTATATTTTATTATTATTATATATATATATTTCTTTAATATTTTACTTATAAGTCTAATATTACTATATATATTGTAATTATCTTTATCTAGTCGTATATATTTTTATACTTTTAATAGTTTATTTATATACCTATTATTAAATATATATTCTTAATTATTTTATTTGATTATTTCTTTATTTATGTAATATATCTTATAACTTTATATATTTATATTATTTTTTATTATTTTCGTTTTTTTATTCATTATTATTATATTATTATTTTTTTTTAAAAAAAAAACCTTGTGTCTTTATCATCATTATTATTAAACATTATATTATATACTACTAACCTAGATGGCCCATTTTTTGTCTTATTTCTTACTAAAGCCCCCCACTTTCGGTGAATTGGGAGGGTAGCTTTTTTATTTTTAAGTATTTGGTGTATATATATAGCTTATTTATTTTATTAATACTTTGATATATATATATATATATATATTTATATTTTTTCCTTTTTTCAAATATTACTATATATAATTATTACTTTACTATTTTTTTCTTATCTTATTTATTTTATTTTTCCCTTGTATCTTATTTGTTTTCTTTACCTTATTTATCTAACACATCTCTCGATTTTTTTAAAGGATATTTTCAAATCAATCAAGGGTAAGTAATTAGGATCGAAACTTTACCTTTTAATTTAACTTGTTATTTTTCTTAATTAAGACAACTGGAAATTACGTAGTACCGAAAGGGCGGTTCAAGGGTGCTAATCCTTCTTTGACCGTAACCGACTCCCGAGCCCGACATATTTCTGGTAAGACGCAGATCATGTAAGAAATAGGGTATCCGATCAACCCATTTATTTTTAAATAAATGATCGATGGCGACTCCCAATCCACATTTTTCAAGTCGAAGCCCAATTCCGGGGCCCAACTGAAAGACGGTTGCGACAGCTTGGCGACTCCGCTGGGGACGGTAAGTGAGTCAGGCTAAGGTAATTTCCAATTATCTTTTTAACGAAAAGGATAAGTTTAAATTTTAAGGTAATATTTCGATCCTTTTTACTTACTTTTGATTATTTTCGAGTAAATAGTTGGACTAATCGTTTTTTCATGATTTCAGCCTTCAAAGTTTTCTTTTTTTCATCTAAAGGCTATATACCCAAGCTCCGAACCCGTTTTAAGTGGGGGTAAAAGCGACGCCTTCGTGTGAATTTATTCATCGTATGGGCCTAGCAAGTAACCTTCGAGATTCATATACCTTATGCCTTCGTGTGAATTTATTCTCCGTATGGGCATAAGGGAATGTGTCCTCTCGAGTTTAACTTAGTCCACACAAGCCTGTGATGGGTTTAGGACTAAGGGTCTGGTAAGCCCAAGGGGGCACCAGCAAGAAGAACTTGGGTACCTTTTTTTTAGAACCTAAACCAGGAGACTACAAGGAGTTAGGGCCCACCCCAAGACCTCATTTCAAACCCTAGGATGCCGGAATTATTTCCTGCTTTACTTTCTGTTCAAAGCATGTGAACTAGAAATTTATGCGGTTAGGACTTGTTCAAAACCAACTTACGGGATAGAGATCATGTCCGGGTAGGAATAATAAGCATGAGGGGCAGATATCATGTGGGGTATGATTTTTCATTTTTATTATTATTTTGATTTACCTCACTAACTCTTTTCGTTTTTGTTCTCTTTTATTTTGTTTTCATCACCTGCATTATTTAAAAGAGGTGTTGATACACCAAAAATGTGTTTGTTAAACATAAATAATCTGAATTAATGGATAAAGGGGTTGTAATACAAGAGATAAAAATGCAGAGGACAGTCTACAAGGCGACTATGTGTCATATTCAATCCTGAAGGTGTGGTGCCCACAATTGAGGAATATATCACTTTGCTGCGTTATAAAGGACTCAGAATGAATCGGGTCTGCATCAAGCACAATGAAAGACTATCTTGGAAAAACTGACTGTCAGAGGTTGCAGGGGCAAGATGAAGGTTACTAATCTTAGGAGTCCCTTCAGAGATAACAATTACAAAACGATAGCTGGAATTGGAGATCATTGCTGACGAATTCAAGGAATAAACTAATGACTTTACATATTTCCTATCAATCGAGGGCTCCAATGACGCATTCATTGGGGACAGGCTCAACAAAAGATAGATGCTAGAGATGCAGTCATTCAAGACTTCTTGGGCCAGTGCAAAAAGTAACTCAACATTGGCACGACCCATCTAGAGAAGCCGGAGTGGTTCGACATGTTATTCAACCAGTGACATACGAATACAGAAGACTAGTCAACATGTCAAAAGCTGTCAGAATATTTTTGTCTCTTAATAGATAAAACACTTTTGTCCTCAATGAGGATTATTCATAATAACAAGCACATTTTTTGGATCAATGCCTCGAATATTTCATGTATCATGCATTTAGACATATTCTGCATTTCGTTATTTTCTTTGCATTCACATCAACTAACGGAAGAATGTCTCAATGAAGGAATAAATACTGGATACACCGCCTCAAGCGTTGGACACACCTCATCCGCATAACACCCGCTTGAAATAGAAAAAAACAAATGGAGGCCAGAATGACTCAAATCGAGGAGAACATGGCAAAATTGCAGAAAAAACTTGAAGATAAGATAAACCAGATTAGTCTGAGTACTCTGAATACAATCATGAAGAACCAAGAATCTTTGGTTGATCAGATCGTTGCCAAGTTAGTTGGCCTACAACAGACCAGTGCGCTTAGGGCAGGTTCACTGGAAGGGGTAACTATACCACCTACCCCACAAGGGGTTGTCTCACCTGAAATCTTACCCGGATTACAAGAGGACTCATATGCTATCAAGGGGAAAGCTATATCTGGTGCAAATATACAAGCTTCCGCTACCAACACTCATCCGGAAGACTATCATGTCCCGGATTTTGACGAGGAGGATAAGGAAAAGAAGATCAAGATGTTAGAAGATCAAATGAAGATAGTCCAAGGGAACCATGATTATTATGGAGTGGATGCAATGGAGCTAAGCCTGGTTCCAGATTTGGTGCTTCCACCAAAGTTTAAAGTTCCTGAGTTTGAGAAGTTCGACGGGAACAGCTGGCCTTCAGCCCATATCACTATGTTCTGTCAGAAGATGACAGGATATGTAGGGAATGACCAACTCCTGATCCACTGCTTCCAGGAGAACATGTCCGGTTCAGCTATCCGGTGGTACAACCAGCTCAGCCGAACTCATATCAAGACATGGAAAGACTTAGCCAAGTCTTTCTTGGAACAATACAAGTATATCAACGATATGAGACCAGACCGAGTTATGCTACAAAGCCTGGAGAAAAAGCACAATGAAAGTTTCCGACAATACGCACAGCGTTGGAGGGATTTGTCTGTCCAAGTTCATCCACCCTTGGATGAAAATGAAACTAAAAAGCTGTTTTTACAGACCCTGAAGGCACCTTACTTCGGGCACCTGGTGGCAATTACATCGGGAATTTTCTTAGATCTAGTTATGGCTGGTGAGATGATCGAGCTAGCTATAAAAAAGGAAAAATTGAGGGAGATATCAACAATGTCAGTACCTACAACGCCAACAAAGGTGTTACGGTCTCAAGTCCAAAAACTGTTGCAGTTGTACCGTCTAGTACTTCTAAACAAATTCAGAGAGGACTAACGCCGTATGCAGCTATCATATTGGGAGCTCAGGGCACACCATTGAGAATTGTGGGGCATTGAAACGTAAGGTCCAAGATCTGATCGATTCAGGGGCATTCACTTTCAATATGTAATGGGGCATTCTGATCGAGAGTCATATGGGGCATCCATTAGGAATTTTGTTGCATTATCAAGTATAGCATCTTGTTTGAACTTGTTTTTCTTTCGTACTTCTTATGCGTGAACATTTTTAAGTCACTTGACGTTTAAACATTTTAATAGGAAATGAGC